TTCACTCAAACGAGATTTCGGTACCACTTTTGCGGGAGAAGAGATAAAAGCCAACAAGTGCGTTAACACGTTCGCTACCAAGCGTCACATATGTGTGACGCGTCGATTCGAGACCAAAGCCACGTATGTACCCGTGACAGCGATGATTTTCTATTTCACGTCTGTCTAAACAAACAAAGTATGAACTACAAACCGGTGTCGAGCCGTGAGTGATATATTATTCGGTATATTTAGCTGTCTCATTTGGTATAATTTATTTGCAAACCTAGCGTTGGTAGCAAAAGGGCTCGAAACAAATCTCAATTTTCATACAACGCGAGTAATTTCGAGTTAAATATTTTCTATTTATCCATCGAATAAAAACGAAGAAGCAGAGCAGGGCAAGCACATAAGGAACTGTATCAAGCAAGATGAAACGTTTTACGACCTGACCCGCGTATAATCCGCAATTTATAATCCAACTTAAACGCAAGACGAACGAAAGGCTGCTGTGTATTAAGGGAAGATGAAAATGTATATCATGGGAAATGGGAGAGAATAAAACAACAAGCTCCAGGAATCTATGGAACGCGTATTACCCGGAAGAGAAGTTAAAATGGTAGACAAACAAGTAGGAAAGGGGAGCTTAAAACTTGACTGTAGAGTGAGAAGGTAGAGATTGACTTGGACAGAGCATTGGAACATTGTCGATATGCTAGAATAGAAAATTAGAGACTTTGAAATAAAGAATCCTCCAGGAAGTAGAAACAGTCGATAGTGGACAGACGTGTCGGAGCAACTCTCATCTGATAAGTTTTAAAAAACTTTTATACGCGATAGACGATTACAAATATGTCTCCCCAGCGTATAAATCGCTGCACGTTAATTCGATACCCGTTATCTACGTTCGAACAAAGTTTTACCGATCTTCGTCGTACTTTTTGCTCGTTAATAATTCCAAACTCCCAGCGGTGGCCGATTGCTGCGCAATAAACTGGATTTCTGCGTCGCAATTAAACATTTGCAAGTGAAACGCGATCGAGGATCGCCGCCTCTCGTCACCGCTCGCGTCATACCGCTTTATCGTGCGAAACCCCATCCGCGACGAGTCATGTGCGTGATTCAGGATAAAGAGCGCGGTGTATCGTCGGACGTATGTATTTCTAACGGAAGGAGAACGGTGGAAAAAAGAGAAAAGGGGAAATAAGCGCGTCGACGGCGGGGCTCTTGGACACGGAAAATCGATTTAGACGTTTCACAAAAGCGGATTCACCTTGATCCGTTCGGGCTGGCCGTTCCTCGACGACGATGGACGTCTCCACTTTCGGTTCCACGGACGCAAGCCAGACGAGGGGGGAAGAGGACCTTTTGCAACGGTTTATTGTGCGCGTTAGAAGAAACATCCATTGTACGGGGCCGCTTATACGGATCCTCTTTTTTCCCCCCAGAAGAAAAGAAATATATCCGTTCTGTTCTTTGATCGACCTTGACCGCGCCTTGTCTGATATCAACGACAATGGCGGGCGGTTACAACGAAACCATGCCTACCGCGAGACACGTTCGTTCCACCAGCCTTTATATAGCAACCTTCGTCGTCGAAGACTTTCGAATCGAACGAATGTTGATAAATCACGTATCCGTCGAGCGGAATGAACGCGGGGATTAAACAACGAGGAACCTCGAGCTGTACCTTGAAAACACATGTATCGTACTGGGGACTATAAAGACGACGATTTGACGGTTGATTCGTTCGAAAAGTGGGTTTCACACGACAATTCTATACGCAAACGATGTTTATCGCCTGGTTAATCAAATATACAGGATATTTGGCCAACCCTAGGACAAATTTTAATGAGAGATTCTAGAGGCCATAAGACGAAAATTAAAAATATCAATTTCTTGATTGAGGCTTCGTTAAAAAGTTATTAAATTACAAAATTTCAAATCGTTCTGGAAAAATTATTTTTGGTTTCAGGGGTCAATTATAATCATTTTTGGTGAATAGACATACCACCGAAATCCTATTCACTTTCGAGAAAAAGAATTCAGCAAGTACTTTTTTTCGAGGAAAAAAAAAATTTCAAATCGTTCTGGAAAAATTATTTTTGGTTGCAGTGGTCAATTACAAGCATTTTTTATGAATACACATACCCTCGAAATCCTACGTACTTTCGAGAAAAAAATTCATTACCGAAAATATACTCTGTGGCCAGAAATGTTTTTAACGAAGCCTAAATCAACAAATTGGTATTCTTGATCTTCATCTTATTTTGGCCTCTAGAATCTCCCATTAAAATTTTTTCCAAGGGCGACCGAATAACCTGTATATAAAAATTAGACTAACAACTCGATCATCCACGAACTTTAATAGAAAAACTCGTCCCTAAATAGCTATTTGCATACTCTGGTAATTATTAACCACCGCTCCCGCGCAATCCAAGATTCGTTCGAGCAAATGGAATACAAATTCTTAGATAGCTCGTTCGGTTCAATGAGAATTCTTTTCAAATAAGAAACAATCGTCGATGCAATTCGAGATTCGTTCGAGTAAAAGTTTGCCTCCGAACGGAACGAAACTTCTTAAAGGTGGAGTCGTTCGTTCAGTTCGATGGGAATCGTATTCAAATGAGAAAAATTAGGTACGATCAACGCTTCCCCAAGATCTTTCGAACGGAGTATAAACGAAACGAAAATTAACGAAAGTAACTCGCCTCTGAATATAAGAAAAATATAAAAAATAATTCCCGCGTTCAATACTCGATAAATTAGCTGGGACGCGTTGGACGTTTCCTTGAAAATATCCACGAGATGGAATAATTAAGTGACAGAGTATCGACGATTTAAAAGGCCGCCGCATCCGCGACTCGCCAGTGGAATAGTACTTTGCCATGAATTCCAATTTGCACGATTAATTGTAACGAAACTAACCTTCTCGGAGCCGCGGTTCGCCGCGGAAAACGGAAAACATTTCTTAATTGAAAACTCGCCGACGGCGTAACGAAACATCGCTAAGCGACAGTTTTTTCTTTCGCGTTAGAACCAAATATTAAAAGCTCGTGACGACGAGTGTTTCGACCTCGATACAAAATTCAGAGACAATTATCGAAAATTAACGGAACGATTCGACGTTCCGAGTAATTCTTATTTGTCTTTGTTCCCGTTCGCTTTATCCCAGTAACGATAAATCTTCATTCAGCTCAACGAAGAGTAATCAATACCGTCAATTAATCGCGAAAGGAAGACCGGGGCGAAAATAGATGAGAACGGCGTGCATAATCGGCGCAAAGCGGCTGCACAAATATTTGCATCTATTTTACGCTCTATCGATGTCACTGAATTTTGGACGCCCGCGATATTTTTAGCCACGATAGGCCGGGTCGATCTATTCTCTGCCCCGCGTATGCATATTCCGTGGGGTTACAACGTCGCTTCGTCCGCTGATTTAATAATAGAGGAGAAGGTAGGAATATGAGATAACCATTTTGTTTTTGCATCTAGGTCGACGATTTCAAAATCTTTTTTCCCCAAGGCATCCCTCTAAAAAGAAGAAAACGCATCGGAAATAACTGATGGGTATAAGATGGAAAGGAATGCACCATTCATGTGTTTCGTCGAAAATTCGTACCCCCTTGGGATACAGAATCGCCTCCATTAGGGGTTACACCCTCGGCATTGGAAAACACTGACCTAGAGCACCACAGAATAGTGGATAAGAAAATAAGGCGAATAGTGTGCAATATAAATATAAATGTAGAACTTTTTATTTTTGTTGAAAACACCTATCAATATAAAGTAATTACATTTTCTATTTTACTTTCCTTGAAGCCATCGTTACGTGAATTTTGCAAGCTGAGTTTTAACTCCAAATGTACTCCAAAGTAAGACAACAAATAACAGTATTATCGTTTCGGTACGATATCGAAATGTTACCGTTTTAAAGGCACTTTTTATCAAAATGGCTGGCCCCCAGGCTAACGTTGTACAGTTCGAGCCCAGTACCATTCAAAAATCGTCCCCAATCGTATATTCCTCTTGGTAGACGCGAAACAAAAGGTGAATCGATAGGAGACAACGGCGAACACAAAGCCCTTATATTCCGCGTAACACGATTGGTGCCAATTAAACAGTCTCGTTAGAGCGACGACGAGAGCGCACTTTGCAGAGGAGTCGCGACTTTGTAAAAATTGCACCGTCGATCCAGGTAACTCAAAGCGCGCGGAGAACGTTCGCGACACGACTTTCACGACACAATTAATTCACGGATAGCCGCGAACGAGCGGTACGAAACGGGCCGACGATGCCCCGAGTGCTCTCGACGCGAAAAAGTAAATGTTGGAGCGAAATTGCGGACGGAACGAAAGGAACCGAAGCGGGGAATCCCGGGGATCGAAGGCGCCCGTTAATTAATCGCGAACGTAAATTTACGAGCGGCACTGAAACAACAACCGAAAGCAAATGACTTCAGAAAGCAAATTTACCGGGCCGTAATGTGTTGTTAGTTGTACTCTCGAAACCGTAAAACCGCAGTGGCCGATTTACGATCGATCGTGTAAAGTATAAAATTATATCGCGCGGGCAATTTAATTCTATCGTTGAACTTTAAACGTCAAACTGTTGAGCCGAGTCGCTTTCGGTATCGGTAGACAGCCGAGAGCATTTCGGAGCGTACGAGTAACGAGGAACGTACGCGCGACAGATTCAAAGGAAGCGGAACGATAATGCAATGACAACGTGTAAAAAGAGGAGATACAAGTATCGCTAATGCGAGGGTGCGCATCCGTTGTTTAATCGGGGAAAAAGGGCACCCGACGTGTACCAGGCATCTCATTGATCCGAGGGAAATTTTTACGCATTGACGGTTTCATGGCCGTGACTTAGTAAATAAAAGTGCGGCTAAGCGAAGTGGTACTATACGATCGCTATCGAACGTTGGCTGGGGGATTGCGTGAATGTGAAGGATAAAGGAGAAAGAGGAGGCGGAAGGGTGCGGTAGACATGTTAGACGAAGTGACAAGACTCACCTTGTCTGAGGGTATGTTGCGCGAACTCATCGTAGATGTTGACAAGGGGGTGTCGTGAGGAATCCAGAGGCCGTCCGTAATTTGACCCAAAGCCGACTTTCCCGAATGGCACAGGTATTAAACAAACGGTGACAGCAGTGAAAAGCCAGTGCGACGCACTACTCGATGAAAACACACTCACGCACAGCTCACTATTCCGGGACCATTTCGGCCCGAGCCTTCGCTGCCCGATCACTCACTCCGACACCTGTCGTTACTTGTACATGTCGGGCGCAAAGTATTTGGGTAACATCTTGCAGATAATGCACGGAATACGCTCTCTAGTTTGCACCGCACGCACCCACCGTCCCAGTCTCAGAGCCAAACACATAAAATGGCGATCCTGAGACGATGCAGCCTTCTGGGGAAGTTTCGGTCACGGAGTATGCGATGAACTTAGTCGGCTCGTTTGATGCGCTTGACAGGTGGCAGTGGGAGTAGTACAGGCCACGCCATCCCCGGCAAATTTTTCAACTATACGCAAACCGGATCTGTGACTTTCATGAGGACGAGGCCTGCAATCACAAGGTGGCTCGCATAAAATATTTCAAATTGTTTTTTCAGGAATTAGTTTACACAGAGCATTTGATGTACGAATATTGCGTATCAAATGCTTGGTGTAAATGATATTTATCTATACCTGAAAAGAAATATAGATCAGGAGGGTTTGAAAAAATAATATGCTTTCCCTAGTTTTTCGACAAAAGAATATAAAATTTTATACTTTATATCGCTAAAACGATACCCCTTATGTCGTATCAAAAGAAAATTGTATCGTAATCCCTAATAATTTCTGAAAAATCAAATTTAATAGATTTGTAATGTTTCATATCAGACTTCATTTGATATTTTCATTGCATATTTTTTATGTTTAATGTTGACCCATTTTTTAAGCAAATGATGCATGTATTTATATCATTTTATCACTGTACTCTTAGGGGCAAACTAGTTTTTATTGATTAGATTTAATATTATTGTAAACACTACCTTGCTTTAGTACCATATTAATATTAACATATAACCTCTTCAGTCACTCTGAAGTTTTGATAGTTGCGAATGATAGATCACATTGCTTTGTTTAAGCATTTATTCGCATGTAGTCGTGAACTATGAATAAAACTACATACTTTATGTATATTTGACGCACAATGAAATATCTGTGATAAACCCTTTATCAAAATACTGTAGAAAAATGTCTGCAATTATAGATGATAAAGTGGTTGCAGGAGCACAATCTGCAAATATTATCAAAGAAGATCCTATTGTAGCTTTGACGGTACATATACCGTCGGAATTTACCTAATTAGTACCTTTCTTTATACTTGATTTTTATATTATACAATATAATCTTTCTTTATTTGTCTTAATTTGTATCATTGTATATTGCAACAGTTTTAACAGTGAAATTACATTATGATTTACCTTTTATTTTCTCTAATAGTTGTATTAACTATCTATTTTAGGAGAAAGTAAATGCATTATATTTGTTTCGAGATCATTACTTTGAAAATCGATCTATCGAGGAAGCAATTAAGAAGAATGGGGATGTGGAGAAACAAATGAAAGATACATTAAATAAATTTGATGAATGTAAAGGATATGAGATTGATGGATCACGAGCAAAGTACTATTATCTGAAAGGGAAAGTCTTAAATGTTACAGAACGTTTTATACCTCAAGCAGAGGAACTATTAACTAAAGCAGTCAAATTAGAACCTAACTTAGTAGAAGCATGGAATGAATTAGGAGATTGTTATTGGAAAAATGATGACATTCAACAAGCAAAAAACTGTTTTGTTGGTGCTTTACGCCATGTACAAATTTTTTCTCTTTAATGAAATATTGTCTATTTATTATCTCATATTGTGCTATTATAATGAAATTATAATTATTGTAGGGTAGAAATAAAGTATCTTTACGAAATCTATCAATGGTACTCAGGCAAGAACCTGTTTCCAATACAGAGCAACGAATACAAAATATACAGCAAGGATTGGAATATGCTAAAGAAGCAGTTAGTCTTGATACAACAGATGGTACTTCCTGGGCCATTTTGGGAAATGCCTATTTATCTTCCTTTTTTACAGTAGCACAGAATCCTGTAACTTTACGCTGCTGCGTGTCAGCTTATGTACAGGCAGTGAGTTATTTTTAATATAACTATATTTTAAAATCTACAATTCCATTAACTGGTCATATAAATTATTTTCAGGAAAAGGATATTGTAGCAGGGAGTAATTCCCATTTATTTCACAATAAAGCAGTAGTGAGTATTTCCGAATTTCGAAATTATTTGAAAACATCTAGTAATGTATACTCATCTGAATAAATAATAATTGTGTTAGGCTTTAAAGTATCAAGAAGAGTATTGTGCAGCATTGAAGTCATTTGAAAGAGCAATGTTACTAGATCCAATATGGGAAACGCCGCGCAATAAAAGGGACGAATTGTTACAATATTTGAAAGATGTACAAAATTTAGTAAACAATAATGGAAGAGTAAAACCGAAGAGATTGTACCAAATGATACGGGTATCTAATATTTTTTAAACACTAAATTTTTTTAATTATGACTTTGTAACGCTTATCATCTTTTAAGATTGTAAAAATATAAGATTTTATAAATGTAGTGTATGACACTGGTACATATACACATTTATAGGTTTCTGATTAAATGTAGGCTTTGGATGTTAAACATTTGGGACCATATAAAGGTGGCTCTTTCACGTCCGGCCAAAAATCTGTAAAATTAGATTTGGTATCGCTAAAAGATTTGGCTGTTGGAGTCAATCCAGAGAAAGTTGTATTTGGGAAAGTAGTATGTTGGATACAAGATACCGATAGTGTACCTTTGTAAGCATACATTTTAATGTTTAAAAACATAGTAATAAATAAGAAACAGTATTTATTATTTTTATTAATAAACATGTATTACTTTTTAGCGCTTTCTGTCTCGTCAATGAAGAAAAAACCTGTATTGCTGTAACAGTATACAATCTAGCTAAAGGTCGCGGCGTTACTGTCGGAGATTCTGTTGCGATCCCTGAACCTTTCGTTATTCATCAAAAGTTTTCTTATCTTGATAATGTTCGTATGCCATACATACATAATTTTAAAATTACTATTAAAGGTAACTACACGAATGTACCTTCTTTCAGGATTTTGACTTCAAAACTGTACGAGTTGAAACACCAGTCATATTGGTTGTTAATGGGAAAAAATTAGGTAGAGAACAACAAGCATCTGCGAAATTTCATACTTTCAAAAAAACCGATTGAGCACAAACTTTCATCCTAGGATTTATAGTGAAATATAGTTGACAACGAGACTTTTCTATAACTCAAATACGGACGTGTGTCAATAGCCGATGTGATATTTGAATTTTGAGTCTAAGTATTATTACATTCATAGAATTAAATAACAGTCAATATCGCCGAAGATAGGCGAATATAATTATATTGTTGCGCGTTTACTTATAAAAATATCGTTCGAGTTAGGGAGAATTCAATTTTAAAATCGTTTTACACAATTTGTTTCTTACATGAAAATTCACATCACGTAAGTATGTTACATTTTTTTTTATGATATGTTAACTTACAAAGAAACCTTAAGGACCCATAATTATTGTGCATATTTTATTAAGAGAACGTTTGGAAAGATTATGCAGCATCATTAGAGCAATGATTATGTTCAATGTTCTAATAGCACACTTTTATCAAATCTTATCAAAGTCAATAAATTTAGACACTCAAGGATTCTTTGTTAGTTTAAATGTTAATTACAGTATAATTTATACATAGTACAGTTAAATCACGTATAAAAATACTGATTCTTACAATACACATTTGTGTATTTTTCAAAGACACTAATATTGAATTGCTTGTCTAATTTACATTATTACTTTTATTATTGCAAGCTTACCTTTATGAGGTGGAGTCACACATTGAAGAAATATTGAAAGTAAAATAATATTCAACACGTCGTTTTTAAACAAACACATTAACTTTAGCATAAGTTTTATTCATCAGTCATTTTACTGTGCCAATAATATAAATTTTGACTTGTTCGTATGAAAGATACAAAATAACTTTCTTTTTATGCCTATTCAAACACGTATATCAATTCATTAAAAGTTTATTAAGAACGTCCATAACATTATACGTCTAGAATTTATTACAAAACGCATTATGCGTATATTTATTTTCTCTTCACTCAAATTTCACTTCATTCAAAAGAATCAAACTCAACACGATAGAGAAAAAATCGCGAGTCTTGTTTCTATATTTATCGCAAAAACCGTTACTGATCAAATCAAAATTTAATACGAACCAGCGAATCTATATCAAAAATGCAACCGTAAGTAGAGAAACAAGACGTCGTCCTTTTTTCAGTCAGATACTTTTGGGAAAAATGCTTGTGATATATTTAAAACGTTTGTATAAAAATGTTTTCTATTATCGATTATAATAATAAATACTTATTTATAACAATATGATAGTTGGCCGTTTCTTTATTAAAATCTAGCATCCGTTCGACGGAAAACAATAGTGAACTTCCGGTGGACTTCAAAGTATCAACGATGCATAAGTGGTCAATCCTCGCCAGAGGTCGACACTTCCTTCTCGATTTGTAAAAGTGCGGGCATTGTGGTACAATTCTACGGTCAGGTTGTACCACACGAGTGAAATCAGAGGTGTGCCAATTGTTCTCGTTCTTTCCAGTATTAGCACACGTCTTCACATATTCACTTCCCATAACTTAAAGTAATTATCGATCACCTCGAGGAACCACTCGCGTTGTTGAGTATCATTGAAAATAGGCGCCAAAGTTCGCAGCTGAAGCTGCAACAGCGCCTCGTTTCCCAGCAACCCGTCGAGTTGCTTCAAAAGTGTTGCATCTCCGTGCAATTTCAGCAGGCTTGCATGGGAGAAAATGTAATATTGGTTTCGAAGACGTTCCACTGCCCATGCTTCGACGGTACGGTTTCCGCTCGCGGCTTGTATGGAACCAATGTGCTCGGCGTACCACGGCGAAAAATAGTTACTTAATTCGACATTTGAGAGATTCCCCACGCCGCGCATCTTCAAACGTTCCTTTATACGCAGGTATGCTTGAGGCGTGTAAACGAATACCTGGAAAAAACACAGATTTGTAATTATTGCCAGTCATTTCCTCATACTTTCTTTCCTCTGATATACCGTTTGCCAAAATGGCGGGAAATATAGTAATGTATGCAATTTATGCAGTATCAAAAGATATACGTTGCAAAAGTAATTTTATTTGTTAAGTACCTATATCAAAGTAAGGTTAATAAGAATAAAAATTGGATTAGGTTGGAGGATACGTTTGATAATAGATGTCGCGCAATTCATATGGTGTTGATTTTACCATACGACAGTACAGTTCATGAATTCCTTTTTTATCGGCACAGGCGTGCACGGTCGATATTGTAATTATTCTCAAACTGAGGCAATACATTTTATGCATCTATAAATCGTTTGTCTTGCACAAGATATCTAATCGAGGTTGTACACGATATAAAACGTTTATTGTTGCACGTGCAAAATTGATTACGTAGATCTTTGGAGAGGAATAGAGACGATTGTGATCAAATCAAGACAAAATCTTAATATTTCCACGACACGTGATTACATCGACAAGGACATTTGTAATTAATAAATAATCGAGCTCTCAAGGTGTATCGTAATGAATGTCAAATAGAAGAGTTACGCAACCTATGTCTACTCGAATACAATGGTAGGAAGTATTACATAGACAAGGAAGTAAACAGTTCCCAAGTAAGCCTATTAGAAAATCATTACATCTATTTTGTATTCATAAGATAATGGTTAAACAAATGTTCCGTCAAGTTTCGATGTTACTTATGGTATGCTTAATTCCGTCACTATATAAATTATAGTAGGTACAAATTCAACTGGCCGTTCAAGGCCATGTCTCGACTGCAAATACCGTCACACATTACTATTTTTCTTACGGTATCGTTACGTGCCTCGTTATCCTACGTGCAACCTTTATCCGTCTTTTTACTGTCAGTCAAACCTATTTACCTCCATATTTGAAGCAGACAGCGTGTGCATGCCGGACTGCACAGTTTTTAAGCAAATAATGAGGCGGAGTGAAAGGACGAGGAGTACTAACCGAAATTATGGGTCTATCAGACCCATTCGCGACTAAAGAGAAGCAAATTAGAGAGAAACAAGTAAATTTTTTGAGTAATCAATCACATAGATTGTTTTAGAATGTATTCTGTAGACGTTATGTGTCCTATGTGATTTATGTATGACGGTACACCGTCAAGTTTCACCCGAGTAGCAAGACAGTTCTTGAACGAATGATTTTCTAACAAATGGATAGGTCATGCAAGACTTATTGCCCAGCCTGTTCGTTCCCCGGATTTAAATCTATTGGACTTTTATTTTTAAAGACGATTGAGGACATTTATTTATTCAATTCCCCTTTGTCTGTGTTGAAACACATCGGCAACGTACGCGAGAAGGTTGCTAAAGGATGTCTGCAGAAGATAAGTAGCTACTCATTACTACAATACGCAGACTACGCGTATTTTTATATTGATCAATGAAATAGGCATTGAACAGCGACTTGATCGTTATCTTTCTTCTCTTTACAGAAGGGTGTTTCTGGAAACAGACTGGTAAACGACTCTTCGGCGACACTCAAGAAACCAGTGCCAGTTACTCAACATTTTCTTTAGCCACTCGTAACTCGAAAAGGAAGGTATGTAGGACATTTCTTCGTAGGATATTTTGTTGGCTTTTTACACGCATTGTATAACCTCACCTGGTACAACGAATTCCCCGTAACGTAGGCGGCGATGTAGTGCGAGCCAAAGTTCTTGATGAATCGAACCACGCTCGCGGTGTCGCCCACCGTGACGTTGCTCGTTTCCCTGAAAACGGCCTCGTCGACGATCATCGACTCCGCCGTGCCCGCGAGCTTCTCGTTCTCACGGAATCTGGCGACGCGCACCAGCACGTAGCAGTGTTCACCGGTGATGAACGACGAGTTGATACCCAGGTGACGAGCCACGGCCGCCTTGGTCCAGCTACCGGTGAACGCTCGCCACGGTCTCTCCAGCCTCTCGAACGTGAAGTCCCGGAAATAGGCCTGCAGAAGCTGCCGGATGTTGTCGCAGAACTCCATGTGAAAGTCACCGTCGAAGATCACGGTCTGCTGATGCTGCTTGTTGACTGCGGCGACCGGATTCGTGAAAACGTCCAACGTCGGCTCCCGGAATATCCAGGTTTCGGTGTCGTTCCTGGGCAACACTCTCATGCTGATGCTCAGGTAGCCGTATCGGCTGAAGATGTTCACGGCGCCGCCTAGACGCGGCCTCTGCGACCCTCCGTTGACCCGTACTCCCACCAATAACGCAAGCATCCACGCCAGGACCAAAAATCGCGAACGCGACCACATCTCTCGCGGCTGCCTGCGGCGGAAGCACCTGGAACATCAACAGACGCGGTAAGTTTTGTTGCTTTTATCTTTGAAAATTTATTTCCGAGGTTTATTTTTACATTTATTTACGTTGTGAATTCAACGTTCGAGAAAGTAAAAAATCGTGCTTTTTAAGAAACTTATAAATAATTCAATATCTGGTCACAAGTATTTTAGAAATGGAAAAATTTTAAGCGCCTGTTACCTCATAAATATTTATCACTTAATGATCGAAAGTGATCGTCAACTGGTTTTTTTAGTTGGCATAGGTGTGCGTATTAATTTATATAAGCGTATTTTCTAAAATCGCGAACAAGTTTCTACGGGACACGGGAATCCCCGAAGCATCTCAAAAATTGTTTCGTCGGGAAACGGGAATGGAAATTAGTTGAAATTAGTCGAACAGATCGAACAGATTGTTTAACGCTAATTTTGGCGTAAAATAAGCAAACGCGATATGAGTTGCATATTTCAAGCTCTATGAATGCGTTTACACGGCTTTTGAATTGGACAGTATCCGCGCCATGAGCATATTTACCCATCCGATGCTTGACTTCTCAACGATCCTCGAGGAGTGCTTTTGAAGTGAAAAGGAAATAGTAAACGATGATACGAACCACTCGCAAAGAACGAAACAATCATCGAAGTAACTAAAGAAATACAATAACAGGGTTCATCAAATTCGATTTGATCTTTTATACGTGATATTAAATATCAGTCGTACAGATAGAAATTATCGCGTAAATACTCGGATAAGATGAACGTGATCTTTCTTATTGAACTTTCCTGCTCTCGAATGAAAAATCTGATATCGCTATAATTTCATATTCGTACACGCGAGCGTGTGTTCGTTAATGGCGCCCATATTTTAGGACCACGAATCGATTTGCACTTACACGGTAATTACGCGATCGAAAGGAAACGAGTTTTTCATATTGAGATGGTAGTTTAGAAATGCGGATTCTTATGAAGTGAAACGCGATAGACTGAAATTAACTGTTTAATATGCATCCGACGCGGGCGCTTTCCGTTTTACAACCGCTATGCGGATCCTTGGCGTTTGTTGATTTGTTTCTTCCCTGTCGCCTCGGTTCCCGTGATTTCACTTAAACAATTTAACTTGTTTCTTTGTCAGAACGAATTTAGTATCGGTTGTTCGTACACGGTAGAAATAATCGACGAGCTACGGAACGATTAGCGAGCCACTGACCTCCAGACACAGTCTGCACAGGTGTACTGGAAACTTACATTTTTATTGCGCCGTTAACGACACTTACGCTTCGACCACAGCGTCCAGGGATGTCTCGTCCCACCGATCGTTAACGATAGATCGTCTCGATCCACGCGAACGGCACTCACTAGACAACTCTGGCGAGATCGAGTGAAGATGCTCGCCAGAGAATGCAGCGAGAGACGAGTTTTGCACTCTCGATCGGTGGCGTATATCGGTGTGCCGGATCGACAAGTGCACGCGTGCACTTCTATCTCGTTTTGTAGGTCTAGGTCAGCGATTCTTGACCATCGTGCAACGACACGCCATCGTGTCGTACTTTACCCGTCGTCGTTCATCATATTTTCCGAGCTTACATTCGAGTAACGCGACGTCTTGCAACAAAATGTTAAGAAATCTCATAGATTGGATTTATTGTTCTTCGTTTCGCGGCTCCTGAGGCTCGAACCTCCTCCAAGCTGGTGGTTCGTTCGCCTCAGTCGATCGCGTGCAGGCGAACCTGTACATCTTGATAAACGTCCACGTGACGGGATTGATTGCTATGCACGTTGGCTGCGATTTATGCGCCACTCCGCGTTAACGGTATTGTTGGAAGGGGACTATGTTTGTCCGGTCAGAGTGCTCGATGGAACGCATAGCTGAAAACGTAGGCTACATCCCTACCGTTTGGTGCACGTTGCACCACGCAAACAGGATGCTAGAGTCTTTTTTTAATCGCTTAACGCGATTACCTTCCATCGAATTATTTCCCAAAATATCGCCTGTCGATAACAATTTAAGAAAAAGCGTTCCAAAGGCAACCATGCGTTGCGCTAGCCCTTGGACTTCTTCCAACCTGGCAATCATTCTAGCGATTGTTTTGCTTCGACGCGTTTCTGGAGAAATTGCTGACAATTACGCGAATGCTTCGGTCTCGTTGGCTCGTTACGCTCGGCGGAAGAAATACGGTGAGGTCATAAATACTGTAACAAGCGAGAACGTTGATGGTCTGGATTGATGCCTCGTGGACGCGAACGCTTTAACTCCTCTTTGACCCGCGAGGTTGGCTGAAAATTAACCTTCGTACGATGGAAACGTGGAATTAACAGGGGAAAGAATGTCGCGGATACGTAACCGTATCGTAACGTTAATTAATGCGGCGAAACGTCATTGTCCTTACGAGAGCGTGCACAGACAGAGGCAAACGCAATGGAAAGAACGAAAGGAACCTGGACTGTTAATGTGTGCGAAGTCGTGACTCCTCGAGTGCAACGTTTCTTAGAACAAACTGTAGCGTAATGTAGGCGTTGCTAATCATCCGGTGACAAGACACGAGGAACGAATTCGTTGGACACCGTACGAGTTACGGTAACGAACATCGGGGAATGTCATCTGTGAGGCCGGACCTTTCACCATTGCACATCCCGACGGTTTCGATGGGACATCGACGACGAAGATCAATTGGACCCGGCACTCTGACGAAATTAAATTTCTATGGAGACGTTCGCGAAAGTCGTTACTAGATCAAATCCATTTGCTTTGGTTATTCCGTACGCTCTATAATTGGCAATTTGATTTATAAATTGCAACACTTTCACAGAACAACGATTTACCGCACGAGATGAACGTATAACGCATCCTCTTATACGCGGTTTCTCTTTCTGCATTACAGTTTACACCGTCGCGACAGTTACGTAGCACCGTGTATCGCAATAAGGGAGAAAAAGTTATTTTTAGCTGGTGAAAGATGTGGTTCTTGATATCGAGACTTCGTATGAATCAACTGAAATTCGAGGGATAGGTAATGGCTACAGATTTGAGAAACACGTTAGACGGTCCTAGATCTTTAGACTACGAAAGATCAGATCCCCGTGGAAAATAGAGCTCAATATGTGGAGCTATAGAATTACCGTATAAATGGCCTAAGCTAGTAGAATGCTATAGAAAAGGTATCTGACTCATGGAACACGTTATAGCCAACCTCAAACACGTGGAACTCGATATCGACGACCGCAAACTTGCGCGGGTAGTATAGTTGACATCAGATTAGCGGAAGTTGATATCGGTGAAGTCACGTATTCTAGGAAAATCAGAGGAAACTCTGATCCAGAGATTTTAGAGTTTCTCAGATGTATTGGGGACCAATTCCCAAGAGTCTCAGATAAATCCACGTGTCTGACCACCATTCTTGGTACCAGCAGTATTCTGACATAGATACAGAACTTCTATTATGTTTGAAACGCTTTAGACCTATTGGAAGCCTCTGGTAACCTCTGGTATCTCAGGACCCCGGCACCCTCGATGCCTAACGGAACTCCTGGCATTCTTGGGACTCACACACTCCTTTCATTATTTATAAGGTCCGTGGGATCGTCTATATCGAGCCTTGCAAGTCTGAGGTCTCTATTTTTAAGCCTTACGTATTCGTTATTTCTTTTATCACCCCCAGCGAGTCTGAGATCGTCTGGATTCCCTCGAGTTCGACGCCAATTGTATCGTGTTTCATAAGTTGAACGCTGTCTCGCTCGTACGACGTTATTTACGCGAAGTCTCGTGAATCCGTGATTACCAATATCGATCCTATAAATCTGAAATCGCCTTTATCGTGCCTTGCGAGTTCGAAAACATCTGTATTGCGTTGCCATGCCCCAGATAGTCCGCGTGGGAAACTGTCCGTTTCAAGTTGTACGTTTCTAAGGTTGACTGTACCGATCCTCCCGTTTATGATAGATCCTGCGTCGGGTTTTACCAGTTCTAGATCATTTATTGCGGATTTGACAGATCATGGATAGTCTTTATATGAAATTTCATGCGTTTGTCGCGTTGAACAAAACGCGGAGGTCTCTATACTAGGTTCGCTGTCTCCGAAGTCGCCCGCGGCGGATTCCACGTGTTCCAGGAGTCGTATCTGTCGAGTCCTTCGAGTCATTTGTATTCGATTCTGGTCGTTTGCTTCAGACATCTCGAGTTCACGGTCGTACGTCATGAATTGCACGATTTCAAAGTTCCCGGTTTTGTGTCTGTCGAGAGTCCAAGGGCGACTGTTTCGAACCTCGTCCTCGGTTCACGTCTGTCCGATGACCCTTCAGTCTCGGTTCCTTACGTTGCATTCCACGAGTTTAGAGTCGTCTCACTCGAGCTCAACGACAGTATAATAGTTCTGCGTATGAATCTTGACGCGATATGCTAGGTCCCATTAAGATAGAACAAACAATGAGATACAGAATGTAGAGTAGAAATTGTTAAACGTATTATCGCAGGTACCTTGGAATATTTACGATTCGTGTAGGTTCAGCAACAAAACGTAGCTGTATAAGCGAGGCCTAACGAGAACCAAGCAAGTCACGAAGTGTGATCGGAGTGAAAGTGAAATTGAAGTCCCCCGCGCGACACTTTAGCCCCAGCTACCCGCAGGCTTTTAAAAGGAGCCGATCTTACGATCGCTAGAATTTTCAGTAGTCCTCGATCCAATCGATATTTACTTAATCGAACGTTAAACTAATATTTCGTGCTCATCGAGATCCTATCGAATCGTTTTAAACGAGGTTCCTCGAGTACGATTGTTTAAACTTACTGTCCCTGACCTACATTCGCCGACGTGCTTTCGCCAACGAAAATTCGCGATGCACCGACTGTTCCAAAATCCTGTATACTCTTGGACACTTTCGAGCACGGCTGTCTCTGTGGTCCCAATAACCTTTCTACTATCTTCGGTCATTAACACACCGGTTAAATGAAAGGAAAATGTTCGAAAGTGGTCATTTTTTCTGTTTACACCATATGGAATCGGGAAACGA